GAACACTGCCAGGGATGGGGCAGCCACAGCTTCTCTGGGCACCCTGGGCCAGCGCCTCAGCACCCTCACAGGGAAGAGCTTCTGCCTCAGAGCTCATCTCAGTCTCCCCTCTGGCAGGTTCAAGCCATTCCCCTTGGCCTGTCCCTACATCCCTTGTCCCAAGCCCCTCTCCAGGTTTCCTGCAGCCCCTTCAGGCACTGGAGCTGCTCTCAGGTCTCCCCTTCAGGAGCCTTCTCTTCTCCAGGCTGACCCAGCCCAGCTCTCTCAGCCTGGCTCCAGAGCAGAGCTGCTCCAGCCCTCGCAGCATCTCCATGGCCTCCTCTGGCCTCGCTCCAACAGCTCCACGTCCCTCTCGTGTTAGGGGTCCCAGAGAAACACATCAAAATCCCCTTATTCAATTATGATCATGACTGTGCCAAGCAATGTGGGTGGTGAGAGACCAGTCTGGAGGCTTCTAAGGAAACATGAGGTAGTTTGCTTTCATTAAACTTCGATGTTCACTTTTTCATTGTGTTTGGACTCTTCCTCTTTACATGTCCCAAGTTTTTCTCTCAACCTGGTGTGCTCTTCAGCTTGTGTGAGCACTGGCACATGGTGGATCCTTTGTGTAAGAGCAACAGGGAAAGTCTGTGTATGGCAGTGCAGTGTGCTTACCTGGTTTCTGATCCAATCTGATGCATCACCGAGATACCCCACAAACCACCCAGGTGTTCTTCTGTTGCCCTTTCCCCAGTCTGCGCTGGCAGAGCCCTCAGTCATGCTTTTCAGCCTTACAAACAACAACGTTCTCCTCACTTTGCAGGCTTTCCAGGCTGGTTTTGGTCTTTTTAGACCCATCTCATCAATGAAGGGTCTAGAGGGCCCCATTCCTGCGGCAGTAAGCTCTTGTATTAGCTGCAGGAAAAACCTGGTTACTAGATGATGGGTGGTACAGAGTCTGCGGTGGTTTGTGTCATCTGGATGATTAGGGTGGGATGAAACAGGCCAGCCTACATATTTCCTTGTACCTTACCAAGAATAAATGTTCTTTCTTAGGATTATATTTACTGTTGAATGTTATTTGACAGGGCAAATATTTACCTGCAGTAATACTGCAAATCTCTGTCATTCTCACTGTGAGTAATATTCTGAATCAATGCTTGGCTTCAACTCCTGGATCCTTGCAGATAATCACACAGAACATGACTCAGTGGAGAATTGGGGTCACTGGGCATTTGCCATGCTGCTGAGGAAAATGGTTTCCCAGGTCCTTGGTCAAGTCACATCCTCTGTGATGAATATCAATGTACAGTGGTGAGATGGTGCTGACCAGCTGTGGTTTGCAAAGATGGACAGCACTTCCATGCTGTCTAGTGTGTGTGTTCTTGCCCAAGATAGGGGGTTGGAACGGGATGGTCTTACAGTCATTTCCAACCCAAACCATTCCATGATTCTATGGCTCACTTCTAAGAGGGGAAAGGCAGGAGAAAGCTAAAGGCTTGGTTTGTAGACATGCTCAACACTTGTAGCTCCCTCCCGAGTCACCTGCATGGGTGTGCAGGGTTGCTGTGCCCATCAGGCCATCTTGCAGTGCGGAAGTGAAGGACATCCAGGCACATTGATAACCACAGATGTGCTCCGTGTTTGCAACGGAGATGTTAACAGACATCAACAGACCAGTCCCTACTATTTCCAGCTTGCTCATCATTGGACACTGACAGTCCGGAGCAAGAGCTCCTCAGTTCTCTCCTTGACCGACAGTAACTCATAGATGCAGCTTAAGGGCCTGTAGAGATGATGTCTGCATCTTGATGAGTTTATAATTCAGGTATTTACCAAGCCATATAAAAGAAGATCCGGTTTTGCTGTTAAAACTCAGGCTTCCCATGCCTGGGACACTGGAGACTGGATCTGCAGATGGACAGAGGTGGTCCAGAGACCCCTGTTCAAACTTAGATTTCAGGAAGAAAAAGTGGTTCTTAAGTATGGTTTTGCTGCTGTTGGAGGTTGGTTGTATCTGCTGCAGTGCCATCCTCTGGCATCACTGTGCAAGCATGAGGCATGGCCCTGGTACTCTGCTCAGGGCAGTTTGATCCATGTCTGGTGCCAGCCCCAGATCACAGATGCACAGGGACCTGGGGACAAAGAGGGTGTCGGAGCAGAAGCACTGTCCCCTCTCTTTCACTCCATCCCACTGCAGGCAGAAGCAGCAGTTTGCCACTCCAAGCCCTGCATTGCAAGCCAAGAGAGGGCTTGCAATAGACTTGTTGTTTCAGCTGATTTCAATGTTTTAATCTGAAGAGGAATAATGTGTAATTACAACAACTGTCATCAGTTTGACAGTGGAAAATCCTAGATCTTCTGTGCCTTTTTGTGTTACCATAATGGGCAGCCTTTTAGCAAAGCAAGCTTCTCTGCACTCACATATGGAGTCCTGGTGGGATGAATGGGTTCAGACCAGCTCACAAATCTAATTTGTAATGTATCCTTATGACATATAATTGGCTGTTTAATATAATTCAAATTAACATAAGAATAGAAAATATAATTTGCAGCCTAGCCCACATGGGGGTGGGAAGGAGCATTGGGTGTCACTGGCAGAGGGGTTGAGATGGCGCGTGGTGTGAGACAGCCCTTCGTGGGACAGAGACATCACCTCAGTCATGTCAGTAGGCACTGTGTGTGACACTAAGTCACCCCTCTTTCCCAGCCTTGAGTGTCTATCTGTCTCATCTCCCTTCCTTATCACCCTAGTGATCTATTTAAAACACATACAGAATAAATGCCGTTTGCTTTGGAAAATGGGCAGGCTCTGAGTCTGGTTACAGTGATTGGATATTGTCTAATCTGATTTTGATTGTGTACAGCTTTGATTGTAATTTTGATATGTCTGCACAATACTGTAGCTCTTGGGAAAGCTTTGTGATTTAAACAGGTATTCTTATGTTGGGGTATTTTTTTTTCCCTTGGGCTGAATAGAGCTGAGGCAGAAATGTGCAGGGGGGTGAGCAGGGTTCTAGAACCACCTCAAAGCCCTCAGTGAGCTGCTCTGCAGCAACACAAGGAACTTGTAGTTTTGAAGAGAGCTTTAGGAAACTTTGAGTGGGTTTTACATAATTTAGTTAAGTACAGCTAAGCCACTTGCTTATATACCTGATGCCAAAATAAACCAGTTGGAGGAACAAGTTTGCTGTGCAATGATTAATTTAAGTCCCTTTCCATAAAGCATGGAGTGAAATCCTCTTAAATAACTGTGAAAGAATTGGTGTACCTCGAAGAATGTAGCCCACGTGGAAACCTAACTACTAGATGTATTAAATGGGATCTATCTGTCTACTGCTGTGTACATCCTCTCAGCCCCCTGCCTTCCCTGTATAATGCCTCTGCTAGACAGAAGCTGGCTGGAAAAATAGCTTGGCTTGAATTTCCCCGGAACAATAGCAGTAGGTACAGAGCTATCTCAGCCTGGATCCATCTTACATTTCTCTCCTACTTGTGTTTCCCCACAGCCAGTGGGAATCTCGGGTGAACGTGAAGGGCTGGGTGGGATGTGCGTTTTTCCATTTTCCATTTCTCTTTTGCAGCAGGATGAGGGGAGGCAAGAGGTAGGGGTTCAGCTCAGGAGGGGATGAGCCACTTCCAGCCACAGTTTTGGGGTGACTCAAGAGCAACTCCCTGCTCTGATACCCCACAGGGATGCATCTCTCCCATCCCAGGCAGTGCTGGAGCTCTCCCACTGGGAGCCCTTCCACAGAAACTTCCTTGCTCCCCGTTGACTTCTTCTCTATTCGGGTCAAACATGGGGTTTATTTTCTTTTATGAAGGGTTTTCTCTCTGCAGTCTGGGGTGATGAAGAGCATGTGAGCTCTGGGGCAATGGATTAATAAAACCTACAGTGCTTAACTGGTTTTGCACACATCTGGGGTTTTGCTCTGCAATCATGTATTAAGTTAAAATCCAACCATGAAACTAGGTGATCTGGGAAATTTAGCTTAAAATCCATGTGTATAATACTATGGCTAATCAGAATTTCATATTCTATAATAACATGTGAAACAGAAGATGTTTATTAGATTACATTTTCTCCTCTGCAGAGGCTGATTCTATTCTGTGTTGATAATTAATAATTTTGGATAGATTTACACTTACATTCTGAAACAAATATGGTTTTGTCTGAAGTGAAAACAACTGCACGAGTCCAATCAGATATTCTTCCTCCATATCAACTGGAACACTTAGAAGTAAACAAATCACCAGCAAACACGGGAAGCTCCAGGAGTCCCAACATCTCCGCGTGTTTGTGGTCACCCTAAGGGAGCAGGACTGGGAGGTGAGGGTATGGATATACCCATATGGATGTGGATGTAAGGAAGGTAAAATCTCCATGGATGGTGGAGTTATGCAGGCTTCCTTTTGTGGATTTTTCAGAACTGATAGCTGTGTTTCCATGTTTCCCTCCCTGGTTGTAGCTTCTGTGCTGGAGTTTGTGAGGAATCCATGGGATTTTTGCTCCCAAGTACTAGTTTTTTCTACAGGGCTAATTCTCATGAACGCTCTTGAAAATACAAACTGTAGATACTGTAAGAGCTGAGCTGGGCGCCCAAAAAGACACTTGGACTTCAAAATACAGCCACTGGGTGGGAAACGGCCGTGCTCTTTCCATGGCTGTGGGCTCTGTGAGCAGAGCTTGCCTGGCTGCATGGAGGTTTCTGCTGAGGTTTTGTTGAGCTAAAGGTGTGCTAGAGGGATGCAGCATGGGAGAGGGGCGTGGTGGGGATGCCCAGGCAAATCTGAGGTCTGCAAGGACCTGTGGTGTTCCTGATGGAAGATGCAGTCCTGCCACACTCCCTGCCTGGCTCTTACCTGGTTACAACCTGCTGGTGTCCAGGGATATGGATGTCTTTGTTATTAAAATCAAACCATTTTCACTGGAGTGTTTTTTTGTGTTTCTTACACAAATAATCACTTTGCTAAAGCAATGAGGCAGTGACCTGTTGCAAAATGTCTTTTTCACATTTTAGACATATAACAGTCAGAATGAGAACAATGAAGACTACGAGATCCCTCCTATAACGCCTCCCAATCTCCCTGACCCTTCCCTCCTGCACTTGGTGGACCATGAAACTGGGTATCACTCCCTGTGCCACAGCCTCCCTTCGAACAGCCTGATACCAGCGTACCCCTACCAGAACATGGACCTGCCGGCCATCATGGTCTCCAACATGTTGAGTCAGGATGGACATCTTCTCTCCAGCCAGCTGCCCACGGTCAGTGACTTTGCCCTCTTGCTGTGTTTCACGAAAGCTGCTCTGTATTTTGAGTTATCAGTTGATTGAACATAGAAGGATGTTAATGATGAGATGTTTGCCCTGGGGGTTGGGAATTGCTGTGCACCGAGGGCAGGGTGCAGTGGCAGATGCTGCAGTCACTTGTGTGGCTGTGCTCATGGTGGTCATTTTATGTTTCCAGTTTGGTGTCTTCCTGAGCCTTATTAGTCCCTCAAGAGCAGAGGGGAGGTTGTTTTCCTCTATGTACCTAACATCCTCACTGAACTGAGCAAAGTCCACGTGCTCCATCCTCCACGTGAAGGTGACCTGCCAAAGCCCTTAGTCCATAAGCCCCTACAGCCCATGTCCTTTCTCCTGTTGCCAGGGTGGCCTTGGTGGCATCAGCAAGAGAGGTACAGATGCGCCATGAAGGGAAAGGTGTCCTATTGATTTCAAGGGGAACAAGATCCCTCCTTACACTTGCAAACTCACATTGCCTCTTGGCTCTCGCTGTGGCAAGGGGATACCTTGTGAAATATCAAATGACTCTTCTGTAGGAATAAATAAAGCAGGGATAATGAAGTAAAGTGCAGCTCTGGGAAGGAAATTCAGGGCTAATTAGACCTTAGGATGCTTCTGTATCAGCAGCACCAAGGAAGGGTTGTGACTTGATTTTGACAGTGGTATTGAATTAATACTGTTGGTGATTAATAATATTTCCCTGTTTAGCAGACCTATGGTTAGTTTTCTACGTTGTTTCTCTCTAAGATCCTTGATTTTCGTGGGTGCTGTTGCACGCCTTCACTATCAAAGAGTTAATTTTTCTTCAATGGCATGGCTGGGAGTCTGCTACTCACTACCCGGAGAACATTTGGTGTTGATTGCTTGAATAGATAACAGTCTGAAAGGTAGTGACATTTAAATATTTAGATGGGATATGATCACTTAGTCTAGGAAAATCCCAAGGCTTTCTCAACTCTTCATGCGTCTCCAAGTTTCATTGTTAGTGTATTAAGAAAAATATCATGTTCTGCCCATCAATATTAAATACCAGCATATTTCAATGGGATTAAATATTATTTAGGCGTCTGTGTTAGCATTTAGGTTCTTAGGTGATTAAAACATTCATTTCTGAGACAAAAAGAGTCAATTTCAGATGAAATATTTTCCCTTGGTTTAATTTAAAGCACAGCCCCCTTGCCTGACCCCTATTTTCATAACATGATAATTTTATCCTGTGTTGATTGTCTCATTTTTGAGAGGTGATATTGCACTTATAAATCACTTTCTAAAATACCTAAAGAAACAAGAATAGTGGGATTTATTAAGCAGCTTCTGGAGGTCTGAAATAATTTATTTTGGAGTAGTCCTTGGGAAATGTTCTCTTTCTTGCTTTATGGTACTGTTTTACAAATGCAGCATCGTGACAATAAATCAGGACTGAGCCAGAGAAGATAAGAAGGGGGCTTAGTGGGCTGTAAGTATAGAGTGGAGAGATTAAGATTTGTTTGCCCCTTACCATGAAAATAAAAAAATCCAGTGAACCCTGAATTTCTCAGACAGTTCCAATTGGAACTGTTCAGTTCTGAGGGAAAAGGCTTGGAGCTGTGATACGTCTCCAGAGGTCCCAGCACCAAAGGAAGTAGAGCAGGGAATGAACTGTGTTGCAATTTTTAGTCAAAATTCAGTCCTGTCAAAACCTTTTTCTGCATGTTGCCAGACTTCTCCCACTGACAGGTAACACCTTCTAGCCCCTTGTTTTCTTTGGATGCTCCAGTCGAGTCTCCCCTTACTCCATCACTGGGGGATGCTTCAGGGTGCATGAAGGGGAGACCTCATAGCAGCCTTCCAGTTTCTGAAGGGGGCTTATAAGGATGCTGGGGAGGGACTCTTCATTAGGGACTGTAGTGACAGGACGAGGGGCAACAGGTTCAAACTTAAATAGGGGAAGTTTAGATTGGATATAAGGAGGAAATTCTTTCCTGTTAGGGTGGTGAGGCACTGGAATGGGTTGCCCAGGGAGGTTGTGAATGCTCCATCCCTCGCAGTGTTCAAGGCCAGGTTGGACGAGGCCTTGGGTGGTATGGTTTAGTGTGAGGTGCCCCTGACCATGGCAGGGCGGTTAGAACTGGATGATGTTAAGGTCCTTTCAACCCTAACTATTCTATGATTCTATGATTCTAAGTGCTACAGTCCTACTCAAACACCAACTGCCTTTGGTGACTGCTTGCAGCAGGAAGCCTCCAGGCCAAGAAAAGGGCTGGTTTGCTAACACCTTCATAAGAGAGGATCTATTACTGCAGGGGTGGTGATGGGAAGCCTTGACTGAGCACTGCGGGGCAGGCATGTGGAGGTTTTGTCTTTGTTCCAGGACCAACATTGTTCATGCAAATGCTGCATCCAGGAACCTCAGTCCTTGCTTGTGGGGGGACAGCACTGCCTGGAGCCCATCACCACTGCTCAGAAACCCTGAAGCGTTGTGCTCCTCCAAGCCTGGCCAAAGGACGTTGGGGCATGCTGAAAACCCAGCCTGGTTTCCCATGGCACATGTTGTGTGCTGCTCCTTTCCTGCTCTCTCCTGCAGTGGCCAGGTGTATTTTTGGACATTGTTTTGGACACATGAAGCTGTTATGAGCAAATATTGTCTTTGTAGCAGGTATATAGAGTTTGACTGAGGAGACTGGCAACTCCCCTTGTGTCTGCATCTTCCTGGTGCTTCTCATCATGAGAGATCTTTGTGGCTACGTTAAAAGCATTAACGTTTCCTTGAGCACAGTGGGGTAACGTTTTTCTGCTCTCAGCAAGCTGTCTCAGACAAGTATAAAAAGGCTGCAGCCACAGCCTGGAAGTTCTTCATTTCAGTTGGTTGAGTGGAAGCAGATTATTTGAAGAGTATTACAAAGCTTCATTGGTGAAAAGCGAGCTCATGGTGTAAAAGTGTCAGATTTCCAGTTACCTGTGGAACCTGTTTATGTAGAGGTGAGAGAGTAATAGGTAAACAGGGGTGGCCTGTAGTAGCAAGGATGAGTGAAGCCCTGAAATAAGAGTTAGTTGGCTGATTTTGCAACCTGAATACTTTTTCCTAGTGCTGCAGGACTTTGCTGTGACACAGAGAGAACCACAGTAAAACAACCCAGCAATTACCCACCTGCCCCTCTCCCAGGTGAGACATGGAAAGGAGAAATAGCCCCTTCCTGAGCTGGGCTGTGTGTGCCGAGGCTGTGGGAATGGTGTAGGGCTCCAAGGAGAAGCATCCTCTATGGTGTCCACCAGAAGACCTCAAGCGAGGTTGTCCTGCAGGACCATGATCTCTTGGCTCCGCAGGTCTCTCCCCAGCTCCCATCCTTCTCGAGACTGCTGCTCCCTGTCAAACACAGCAGCATTTCTTATTGACAGCCTAAGCCAGAATCAGTGGGAATTGCAGCTGGTTTTTTCTGGATAGCACTCACTTGATGTGCTAAACAGTGGTCAAGGTATTTGGTGGTGGGCAGCACAGTTGGATGTGGCTGTACAGAGCCGGCGAGCATTGGAAGGTTGTGAGAAGGTTGGTGACACAAAAGGCAAAGATGGTGACACAAAAGACAAGTAGGATATGCCAGTCTTCTGTCATGGGAAATACCTGACCGTGGTAGACAATACAATTTACGTGTTGTTGGTAAATACTCCCAATACATAAATATTTCAATCATTTCGAATCACTGCCTGTTAAAATAAATTTTTTAATACCTCACCTTGCAGTTTTGTGTCCAGGTCTGTGGCCTCCAACACAGGGGGGACATGGAGCTGTTGAAGCTGGCTTTTGATAAAAGCCTGTAGGGACAGGCCAAGGGGAATGGCTTTAAGCTGCCAGAGGGGAGACTGAGATGAGCTCTTAGGCAGAAGCTCTTCCCTGTGAGGGTGCTGAGGCGCTGGCACAGGGTGCCCAGAGAAGCTGTGGCTGCCCCATTCCTGGCAGTGTTCGAGGGCAGGTTGGACACAGGGGCTTGGAGCAAACTGCTCTAGTGGAAGGTGTCCCTGCCCGTGGCAGGGGTTGGAGCTGGATGAGCTTTGAGGTCCCTCTTGGCCCAAAGCATTCTATGATTCTAAGTTATTTCAAATAACCCATACCCCAGTGCAGCGGTGCCCTTTAGAGCAAGCTCATGCTTTAGAGCAGTGGTCAGGAAATGCTTGGTTGGCTCCATCAAGCCTCAGGCTCGCAGCACAGCACCAGTACAAAACTTAGCATGTCTTCCCTGTTTCAGTCAGTCCTGGATGAGTTTGCATTGGCAATTTTGTGTTGTGTGCTTTAAGTTTTGACTAATTTGGCTTTCTGCATATTAATGGTTCAGTATTTAAAAACTAAACTCCTGAACATGAGCCCTTGGTGGAAAATAGTAATAATACAACCATACATGAAGGGTTCTTTGTATTAAACAGAGCCCTGTTTGCAATTCCCTGCTAGTGTTTTTCTCAGAGGCAATAAATGAAAGAAATATGTCTTTTTAAATTTTATAAAACTCAGAAAAATGGTTTTAAACAGCTTTTCTTCACCTCCTATAATTATTTATTTTCAAACAGTCCTTCAGGGTAATGTTCCGTTTTCTTATTTCACACTCCTTTTTCTCATAAATGAACCATCACTTCAATAAATCATTATGAAAACAGAGACTAACACAAACCCTGAAAGGTTGAAAGATTTATGTAACACATTTATGTTTTCCATTTTCTCATTCTGGTACTCCACTGCTAAAGCTAAGCTAATAAAAGCTGCTATTAATATTTCTTGTTGCCTAGCAACCGCAGAGAGGGAGTAATAGCTTTAGCTAGAAAAATAGATGACCGATAAGGAAAAATTCAATTCTTTTATTATCTCAAGGGAAAATGGGCTTTTACTGGAACATTATGATGTACGAGTGTGAAGTTGAATACAAAGGATATTTTTTCAGTTGTTTTTCTATCTTTAATGAACATTATTTTACCTTCACAAACTCATTTAAGGCATTTGCCCCACCTACTTGCGA